AATAATCGACTGCGATTGACCAATTTCGTCAGACACATAAGAATTGACCAATCACAGTCGATTATTCTTCCGACACGACTTACGACATCCAATGTAGACCCAGCCTAAAGCCTCCGCTACAATGATTCTCGGTTCTGTCTACAATGGTCGTAGTCGTAAGAATAATCGACTGCGATTGGTCAATTCTTATCGAGCGACTACGACTACGACCATTGTAGACAGAACCGAGAATCATTGTAGCGGAGGCTTAGGCCCGGTCTACAATGAGTCGTTAGTCGTTAGTCAGAAGTCGCAACTATATGTTGATCCTTTTCCTTTCTGGGTGGAAGAAAAAGGACCGACATGTAGTTCCGACTTCTGACTAACGACTAACAACTCATTGTAGACCGGGCCTTAAGAATTGACCAATCGCAGTCAATTATTCTTACGACTACGACCATTGTAGTCAGAACTGAGAATCATTGTAGCGGAGGCTTTAAGCTTCATCTACATAGAAGTCGTAACATTGTAGTCGTAAGAATAGTTGACTATGATTGGTCATAACTGTTGATGAAGTTTTCTCTATTCCGTTGAATTTCGGCTAACTTCCGGTTAATAAATATTTAATTGAAATTATCTGCAACACTCGTAAACCTTTCTAATCACACTTCATAACTCTTCATACAAAATACAAACGATTCCACATAAAAACTTTAATTTAATTTATCTATGGTGCTAAAGTCACGGTAAAAAAATAATTAGTTACAAACAAACGAATGACTCACAAACCTTATCAATTGCACTTCAAATGTCTCCATACGAAATACAAACGATTGCATATAGCAGTTATTTAAAAGTACGTTTAATTGGCGTCAAGTATCTACGAATAAGAAATCGACGTAAGATCGAACTAGTTATGCTATGAACTTTTTAGCTCTATTGTAAACTCGTGGTTGACTGGGGGGGAGGGGGGCGCTAACGAAAATAACTGTGCGAGTGTCTGTAAATGCGCAGTGAGTGTAGCTCACAGATATCTATTGTGGTGTAGCTGGCCGTAGTTTTCTAGTATCCATTGTCCATTCATCATATACGACTGGTGTGATAGATGCAGGAAATATGAAGTCTCGGAACAGCAACGAGACTGGATCTCGTTAAAAGCGGTCGGAAAAGAGAAGGAGACGGAGGAAGAAAGTGGCGAAGGTAACGGCTGCTACAATTCTTCGAAGTGAAAGCAAGGCATCGAAGAGCCTTTCTCGTGATTTCAGAATCTCGACAAAACGGTGAGATATATATATGTATATATCAGTAAATGCTCGATGTTAATCCGAATCTGTGCTCCCTGATTTACATATTTGCTATGCTCTCCTACAAGCACTGCTCTGCTCATTTTTTTAATCTAACCTACAATTAAAATTTTTCACATGTAGCAAGTATAAAAAGGTAGGTTCAGAAAAGAAGGCATATTTTCAAGAAGTGTCGAACAGTGTTAAACAGCCTTTCTATCTGTTTTAAACGTTATTCATTAGAGGTTATTTTTCCATGATTCTATTTTTATCTCCGAGTCCTATATACTTTAGCATATTGCTATGTTTTATCTAAACTAGAACAGATGTAAAATAAAAACAGAAAATAGGAGTCAAGTCTGTTGTTTTGATCAAATCTCTCATTGCCGCGAATCAAGTTAGCAGGAAATAATTTATAGATATTTACGGTACATTTGTACCACACATATTTGTGTACCTACATGCATTGCAAGAATTTCTATCGTTCAATTTGTTTTTTTCTTTAGCAATACTTTACATTACTATTGAACTTAAACAAATATATATGTATATTCACTCGCATTTACAGTAAAGAAAGTCAGTGTGAAAAGTGCAATACATAAGAACAGATCTATTGTTTGCATGAATAAGATAGCATGAATATGAGCACTCTAATTCTAACTTAACCTAGCTTTATTTTCTAACAAGTTACAGTAACAATAATACTGAAATCACAAGCACATAAAATACAAAAATAAATAAAAAAACGGTTGAGTTAAAGGGATAAAAAATTAATTTTTATCTTGAATTACTACATAATCGTTCATTTTCATTCGTGTGTGTGTATATAATATACACATATTGTTTATATATATATATATGTTTTCTTTGCTATTTATTGACAGTGTGAAATTCTTATAAATAAAGATTTGACTGTTTTGTATAAAGTATCTGAAGCATTTGTATCAAATATGAAACATTGTATAAGCTAAAACAATAATAATGTCATTATGTGCATATAATGATAATGATTTTAAGGCAAAATAATGCACTGAAATGGAAAATGGAATGAATGTGATCATGTCCGTATAAGATAAGACAAGAGCAGTGGTCTTATTGTGTCTCGTGTCATGAGGAAGAGAAGTCCCCTTATATCTCTCTGAAACAGCATAGAATGGGTGAGAAACTTATAAGCTTGTAATACTGAGTTCTGATTTTGATTTAAGGTAGATTGCACTAATGTGAATTGAGTGCAACTTATTTATCTTCAAAAGGAGAGTTTGCTTATTGTCACCAGTAATGATTAAAAATTAAGACGGGAAACTTATAGTCAACCCAACTGGCTAGTTATTTAATTAGTTTATTACACACACGATTACTAAGTAACGTTTCGATTCTATTCTTTTGGGTCCTTTTTGAGTGATACTAAGTCAATCATTGTTGTAGAATAAGACAGAGTCGAGTTATAAAACATATTATATGTATACGTGTGAGCACTGTGGTAGCTGGGCTCGAGCCCAAAAGATTCAATTTTTACTGAAAAATTTTTGCTATTTTCAGCCCGAAAAAAGTTTTTAAAGAGATAAAAAGCGGTCGCGGTTCCAGCTATAGCCAGTCATATAGTATATGTATATGTATGTGGAAGAGCTACTGGATTTGCCCAGTAGTTTTTGCGAAAAACGTACGCCCGTCTTAAAAAATATTGTTTTGAGAAAAATGCGTTTATGTTAAAGTTTCTCCTGCAAGTTGATGTGGATAACGATTAATTTTTCTAACTTATCCTTAGTCAGCTATACCAGGGCTATATAATATACCTAGTACCGATTTCAAAGTTTATTAGATTAGAAGAGTTAAGGTGTTTCATGTTCTCCCATATAGTATCAAGAAATGTATCACATTGTTTTTAAGATCTTTACTAAATATAAAACTAATTATAACAATAAGCCTTTATTCTTGTTATTTATACACCTTGACCGAATAATGGTGTGTCCAGGTTGGGGGATGGGGATACTTAAAAATCGCGTATCAATAGTTCTGTATACTGCCGACAATCCAAATCGGCGTGCAGTTTAAAGTTGAAAAATAGACGCTAAATATCATCATTAGACTATTTATTGCGACAAATATTACCACATGCCTCAGTGGCCGAATTGGTAAGATGCTTATGCAGAGTGTAGGGAGGTACAAGTTCAAACCCTGGTTGAGGTAATATTTTATGCAATAAATATGCAAAAAATATATTATGACGTTCTCTCATATTACTATCACCCTCGCTATATAGCTGTGTAAATCTCTATTTCTTTTATATATAATCTTTTATATATAAATAAATTTTTAACAGTATAAGTGTAAAAATCTGTTTATTTTATAATGTATTTCTGTTTCACCTGTAATATATATTTTATTTTAGTATAAAAGTTCAACATAATAAATGCAAATGTGTGTAGAGCTAAAACCTATCTGTGATATAATACAATGTGATATAATACAATGCCTCAAATGGTACTTTGTATTTTAAATTGATATCGAGGAGTTTTGTGCGAAAAATGTTATTAAAGTTATTGAATCCAGTGTGAAATTTCCTTTTGTAATTTTTATTATATTTGGTGAGACATAATCAACCTTTTAGTCTCTATTAAATGCAGTTGGTTATAGCAATTCGATGCCATATGGCGACGCGCAGCATGTATTATAAATAACGTGCTATTTGTGACTACATTGCGCGCAATGTGGGGCATGTCTTCCATCAAACCATGGCAAATTTGTCGATTAAATTTGTGCACATTATCTTGTTATTTCGCAAAAAGTGACACGAAATGTGTATATTAGAAATTGCGAGCAGTTGTAAAACACAAACATTTCTTGTATTTTCTTTTTTTGGGTCTATAGATGGCGATTTTCTCGATACTCAAGAAAGATACTGAATCTTTTATATATAAATAATTATTGATTAAGACTTATGTAATTAAAAATTTAATAATTTGTTTGTGTTAACAATTAGCAAGTAGGTTTATGAGTAGAGAGAGAGAGAGGGGTAGTTATTTAAATAATTTCTTGTTGTGAACATTTACATTAAATAAATGTCTAAAGGTACTTTACTTTCATACCTTGTAGCGTATGCTCGTTTTTATTGCCTTGTACATATTATCTAATTTACAACAGCTTAATTCTGTTAAAAGTATTCCTGAAAGAACTTGGAAGTATTTAATTTTATTGTTATTGTTACTTTATATTTTGCAAATTTCTGCAAATTATTGAAACACTAAAATTAAAAATAAAATTCCAAAATATTCAAATAGACTTTAATTTTGATATGTATTACATTCTAACCTATTATATTTTATTGTACAGAGTTGAAGTGTTTTAAATTAACTATAAACAGAAACAAAAATTAATAACTATGAAATTTCTTTTGTAGAAAAGTATTTAATATTTACGTAAGCAGATAGAAACAACCAGAAGTGTACTATTACGAAGAATGGCATATAATAATTTATTAATACAATAATTTATTCATACATTATTTATTAACACAACTGATTTTATGAATTAATTTACCAATATCAACTTATAATTTATTTCTTTTGCATAACAAGAAATAAATATTTTTTGTAACTTCATATTCGTTATCTATTGTATCTTTAATAGGATTAGTATGTTTATTTTTCTTCTAGTTTCATTTTACTCATAAAGAAATGGACTATAATCTTATGTATAAAAAAAATACAAATTGTCAATTTTTAAAATAATCTCAATAATTTTCGTTTAAAAAAATTTGTATGTTGATGCTGATTTTAATGACCAGTGTAGAATTAAGATTTAAATTTTATTCCATTAAAAAAAGCTAATATTTTTAATTTTAAATTTTGTTTAAGTATACATGTGCGTGTATGCATGCACATTGCGAATATATGAAAGATGGAGTATAAAAAAATATATTTTAATTCTAGATATACAAGGAGGAATGTCTCGAAACAATGGACCTGGTCTTTACGAGTTTCTTATGGAGGCTGAGTTACAAGAGTATTATCCTGGTATTCGAGGTATTAATTATTTCTGTTTTATTTTGATTATATTTTTTATGATATTACATACATATACACATACACACAAAACAGAAAAGCTAATAAACAGATCTTTTTAAGCCCTACAACTTTTGCGCTTAAAAAAAATCTGTTTCCTATAGCCTTATTGGTTTGATCTTGCATTGTCAAGGTGAGGTCAAGTTAAATTTTATTTTATCGGCATCATACAAAGTATACTTTTTCATAATTTTTGTTGATTGTAATGGTGGCATATAACTTACAATTAGTGTGTGCTCCTTTGAGAAACAAAATAAAAATTTTAAAAATCTAGAAAACAAGATATTTTATGCAAATGTTTAAATGCTAATACATTCAATTATTTATTTGTTTATTAAGGTATATTTAATGAAAGAGAAACATATTTTTAATTAGGGGACTTGAAGGTGCAAACAACAGCACAATTAAAATATGTAACAGAAGATGATTTGAATGCAATAGGAATGAGCAAACCAGAGATGCGTCGTCTAAAGAAATACTTCCAGAAGCACTTTCCTCAAAATTATTTATCTAAATTTAAGAAAATGCTACTACCAAAACGCGAAGAACAGTCTCCTGGTGTGCTGAGTATGTTACCAGAAGAAAGACAAGATAAACCATCAGTACGTGTTCCTAATAAACACATGATTCCGGCTGATGCAATCATTGTGAATAAGGAACTCGGGGTAGGAGAATTTGGTGTTGTACAGCAAGGGGTGTGGACGAATGATGGAGAACGAATACAAGTTGCAATTAAATGTTTATCACGTGAGAGGATGCAAAACAATCCCATAGAATTTTTGAAGGAAGCTGCTATAATGCACTCAATTGATCACGAGCATATTGTGCGACTTTATGGCGTGGTACTTGACACAAACTCATTGATGCTTGTGACAGAATTGGCTCCATTACGCTCATTACTGGAATGCCTTAAAGAACCTAGTCTGCGTTCGAGTTTTCCAGTCTTATCGCTATGTGACTTTGCTGTACAAATTGCCGACGGGATGCAATATCTAGAAGTTAAAAGGTTAATACATCGCGATCTTGCTGCTAGAAATATCCTTGTGTTTTCCAAGAATAAAGTTAAAATATCAGATTTCGGGTTATCACGTGCATTAGGTGTGGGTAAGGATTATTACCAGACTAATTTCAATGTCAATTTGAAACTGCCTATTGCATGGTGTGCGCCTGAATGCATATCCTACTTGAAATTTACGTCGGCGAGCGACGTTTGGGCATATGGAGTAACATTATACGAGATGTTCAGTTATGGATTTCAGCCCTGGGCAGCGTTGACCGGTCATCAAATTCTCGAAGCGATAGACGAGCCTAATTTTCAGAGATTAGAGCAACCCGAGTGCTGTCCAAAAGAATATTTTACTTTGATGCAACAATGCTGGCAACATGATCCTTTGAAGAGGCCTAGATTTGCTGACTTGATTACCGCATTGCCTGAACTGAAACCTGAACAGGTGCAAGCAGTCCAGGATAACACTGAATCGAACCAACTTGTTTATAGACAGAACGATATTATCACAGTTCTAGATAAAGGTAGCAGTAATACTTTGTGGAAAGGCGTTCTAAATAATGGCAAAACGGGATTTTTTAATCCGGCTCATACAATCGCGTATCTCGGCTCCAATCTGCCTAGTAACAAACCTGGTGAATTTACACGAGGAGATGGTAAAAATACTTTCTCCTCGCAGCGTAGAAAAATTCGCACAGACATGATATCCTCGCCACAGGGTGATCTCAAACATACCGGTCACGTGGGTTTAGATGGAGCTTATTTCGGTGATATCAGCTTTCTCGGTGGAAAGTATCCACATTTGCCTCGTCAAGTTGTGACGCCATACAAACCCCAGGAGGATGCAACTGATAATTCTAGTCAAATTTCAAATCAGGATGCAAGAAATGTAGATACGAACAGGGAATCAACAAGAGAAAGTAGAAGCATGCAACAAGAAACTCAAAACAAACATGGTATATATTTCTCTTTTACTATAATAACTTTTTTATAAAGCAAAAGTACTTAAAATTGTTTATGTACTTGCATACATACATATGTACATATTTATTTCATAAAAGTGTAATGTATTTATAATTAATTTTATTAAATAAGATAGTATGTTCAGGGTGGCTTATTTTAATCAATTCACTCAAATATCTTAAAACGTATAAGTTCCAGAAGAAAACTTTTCAGACAAAAGTTGTTTGGTTCCGACGGACACATCAGATGGTGTCATTAATTTGGCCTTGAATAGTTTCTTAAGGGTCACGTGAAGGTCACCTTCAATTTTTTTAATGCAACTTCCTATTGTTTATTATACTATCTTATTCTATTAATTAATATAAACAACTTTTGCAAAAAAGATTTTTTGGTTTGCCTAATACTTGTTGAAATATTCAAGAGAAAATTGATAACTTTTTCAATAATTAGCTTGTGATATCTCGATAATTGTTTGTCGGAAGGAAAAGTAGTACAGGACTTTTTTTACTTGATTTGGTCTCAGGAATATGCTGTTGCACTAATGCTCCAGTTATTGAAAATTTTTGTGTATGTTACAATACTGTTACGCTCACGTCCCGGACGCCCGGTATCTTCGGGTGTCGTTTAGTTACGGTTGCTCTTTGTGTTTAAAACAATTTCATGTATTGATTCGAAGTTTGGCTTTTGAGTCTAACGGACATATCTCTTGTAAAATAAAGTTCGTGTTTCTTATCTTCGTGGTTTATTTGTGTGTGCGAGGGAGTGCCAAGGGAGTGGAACGCGGCGGTGCGAACCAGCCGTAACAATACAATACTAGCTAAATAGTGAAAAAGTTATCAATTTTCTCTTGAATATCTCAAGAGGTACTAGGCAAATCACAAAATGTTTCAGACAAAAGTTATTCATATTAATTAGTAGAATAAGACAGTGTAATAAACAATAGAGAGTTCCATTTAAGAAATTTACGATGACCTTTACGTGACCTTGATGACGCTATTTAAGTTCACACTGATATTGCTATGTAATGTGTTACTTGAAACCCTACAACTTTTGTCTGAAAAGTTTTTTTCTGGAACTTATACGTTTTGAGGTATATGAGTGGATTGATTTAAATGAGCTACTTTGTATAAGGAGACAATTTTCATCTATAAAATATGGTATTAGTAAAATATAGTCATATTTTTGATTGTTGACTTTGTATAGTATGTTTGAAAATATAATGTTATATGTTTATTTAGAGAACTTATGGTCTCTCTCTGATATGAATTCAGAGATATGTCACGTAACTGCAGGCAGCAACGCAAACAAGCAAGCTATGACATCCAATGTAGGTAGTAATACTGATGTTCTTGGAGCCGACCATGAATACCATGAAATCAGTGATGAAGAGAATCAAGATAGTCCACTAAGATTTGATAAGACGTTAAATTTTGATTTTGCTCCAAGTCTTTTGGCTGAAATGGATCAAATGTTCAGATCGTTAGGTAAAAGCAGGATTTAAAAAATATTAGATATCCTATGTTATATTGGATGTTTCTCAATAAAGGAAGTATTTTGAAAAAATTTCAAGACATAAAAATAATAAAAATAGTTTAATAGTTTAAACATATGTTTGATATGACTTAAAAATCCATGTTTGAAATTATTTATGTAAAAATTACTAGATAAAATCTTAAATATTGCCACATTTTAAATTAGGATTTATTCTGTATTATTAATTTCACAGATTTTCTCTTTAAAAAATTTATATTTCTCTTCAACACAACGTCAAACTTATGTAATACTTCACTAAAATATTCTTAAATATTTATTTTACTATTATAATAGTTCTTTAACCCTTAGAAAATGAGTAAATTTTTTCCATAACTATAACTTTTTTATTTATAACTTTTATGTACATGTATATAATGTTTATGTACATGTACATATGTATATGTGTGTTACAGTGTTGTACAATGAAAAATAAGCGACCACTAAAAATAGACTTCTTATTCTCTAAAGGTTAAACTTTTATCTTATATACAATATAATAAATTAGAAGATTTGTGAACATTATAAGGTTAAACATGTAGCACATTTACATACTGTTTATCAAGTGCAATTTAATATCTCATAAATGTACAATACGGCTAGGTATTGTACATTTGTCAAGTTATTAAAATTTGTTACATATTCTTACAAGTTTAAATAACTTTTGCATTATGTATACATATATGTATATGTATATCTTATAAGTTTATCTTTTATATAATCAATTACCTTGAACCTCCTTAACAAAGTTATATTAGACATATAGACTTGTTTGTTATTTTTATGCCTTGAATCTGCAGCAATTCCTATAAGTTTCAAGGAACAAGGAACAGGATGCGTTCACAGAGCTCGCTATTAATGCTGTTATCTACCTTTCTTTGACGTATGATATATTGATATAATGAGTAACAAGGATAGAATGATACTTTCAGCGCTATATAGCGCTGATAGTGAGCTCTCCGAACATACCTTCCAAAAGCTGATCTCCAAAAAGCTGATTTAAATATATGTTTTCTACTACTTTATCAGTCCTTTAAAACTAAACTTGCAATATTTGCACAATATTAAAAAGAAATTAATTATTTAAGATAATTATCAGGTGATTATGATGGACCATTTTGTATAATATTTCTGACATATTACATTCTTTTGTAGGTTCTTCTCCTCCTCCTCCTCCGCCACCGGGCCATCCTTTATCCACCGAACATGAATCAAGTAATGCAAGGAATGAACTGAGAGAGATTCAAGCAAAACAATGTAACAAGAAGAAACAAGCCACCGTGAGTCCAATAAATGTACAGTAAATTTTTATTATTTATGACAATATTTTATCTAACGTTACTCTTTTCTTGTTATTATTATTTGCGGCTTTTTCATTTTTTTCACTTATATTTATATATGATGTGTTGGCAAAAACTTCAAGGTAAAAAATTAAATCATTCTGATAGAATCGACAATTTACAATCAAATATATTATACACACTATTTCTAGATGTTGTTTTTAATATATATAAATAATTTATATATATTAAATATAATTAAAAATAATATATAAAAACAAAAGAGAATCGAGGAAATATTAACTTTTCACATTGATACTGCAGAGACGGTAAATGTTTATCTTATCTAGGTGAAGCCTATCTCAGCTGCCGATCAGAAAACTCTCTACTCTGCTATTGCTATGGCACAGGAATTGACAGCTCGTTCCATGACAGATCTTGAACATCCACCGGAGTCTCCCCGTACACCTGCCAGTCCTTCAAGGCGTAGGAAATTCTCTTTTAAGTTGCCACATCAACACAGTCCTAAACCAGACAGACGACACTTTTCTGAAGAAGCTGCCAGTATACCTGACATACAGGTATATACACAAAATGTTTCAGTCAAAAGTTGTTCATATTAATTAGTAGAATAAGACAGTATAATAAACAATAGGGAGTTCCATTTAAGAAATTTAATCTGAAACTTTTATGTGAAACATTTTTCATAACAATTACATTTTTCGAAATATTTCGGGGTCCCGGTATTTTTTCCTCATCCTGTATACACATATCTGTACACATCATATGGAATATTTTCAAAACTGTTATAGAACACAGTTAATTCCTGCTGTCATGTAAAATAAAAAGTATGTTTATATTATGATTGTAATTATGTGCAGGACGGTCTTAGTTAAAGCAAAATATCAGAATATCATTGTTATATTTAAACATAAAAATGACAGTAAGAAAAGTTAGGTACTTCATTTATATGGAAAAAGATTTCTCTTTTAAAATTATTTTTTAGTTTTCAAGATCATTAATCTTTCTGAAATAGAACTAGGTACTATACATATATTTTTCAATATTTACAGCAAAAAATTTAAATAAAACAATAAACTATGTTAAATAGCTTTTATATTAAATAATAAATAAACGAAAGAAAAAATGTTACTTATAGTCACCAGTGATGATTAAAAATTACAACAGTGAGCTTATTGTCAACCAAACTTGCAAATTTTATTGAATTTGTTACAAGGCTTCGACTTTACTTCAGGTTCTTTTCAAGTAACAATACTGCAAATCAACAAAATATAAGAGATTAAAATTATTAATTAATCATCTAGTAAAAACAAAAGAGACTAAATTAACGAACCAAATAAGAAAATAAGAGCAATTTATATTATAGAAAAGTAAGTCATCGTCATCCGTGAAATAGAGTCAAAAGATAAAAATAAGCGCACATCCGAACATTATTGAGGTTCGATTTGAACTGATTCGTAGGTAACGTCACAAAACAACAGACAAGATGATATTACGACCTACATAAATTTGATTACTTAATAATTTTAATCTCTTATATTTTGTTGATTTGCAATATTGTTACTTGAAAAGAACCTGAAGTAAGATCAAAATGTAACAAATTCAGTAAAATTTGTCAGTTGGGTTGACAATAAGCTCACTGTTTTAATAAATAAATAAAATAAATAAAATAAATAAAGTACTTATAGAAACACAGCTGGGTTTAATCGCTGAAATATTCAGACAATATTATAGTATACATATATTTTGGAACATTGATTTTGGCCACCTTCAGTGTATTATATGTTATACAAAGGAGCTTGATTTTCTCATACATCAAGGAGAAACAGACAATTTTTACTAATTGTTTTTTTAGAAAAAATGAATAGGTCATATGACTACAAATATAACCCGTTATGTTGACTTTTAATATAAAGCTTTTCTGAGATGAGTCTTTTTCCTAAAAATCTTTCTTCGTCCAATACTTCAATTTCAGATCAGTTAAAATCATGGTTGTGATTCAATCTGTGGACAGCTATCACAGAATGAACAGATATATTTCTGTTGATATAATTTCTATGTTTGGAGATTCTAGTATGCAGTTTACATTCTTTTACTTAGATTTTCACTTTGTATTTCTTAGCAGAGATACGGAATGAAATATAGTTGTAGAGGTTGAAGTATAATGGTTAATTGATAAATCGATTGCCTAGTAATCTATGCCAAACTTTTGTAAGCAGTCTTTTGCAACTAGCTTGGTTTCAAGCCAAAGTATCTTTATAAATTGTTGGAATAATTTTCTCTTGAGTTGGGTCGAGTATTCTATTGGAAATAACGACAGCTCTTTATTAAAATGATCTTCTTTTATATACACATACATACATACTGTATATATATACTCCATGTCTTATCAGCGAGGAAAAAATCGAACATGCTCTTAAAACGCCTTCTGCGCACTAAATATGTAAGCAAAATTTTAATCTTATTATTTGGACTTCTCTTTTGCTTGAATATTTATTTTATTCTAATTGATTTATAATCCAATGATAGCTAAACCACGAATTCTACATTTCATTTTTGTTTAGTGTACTTATTCAGCTCGTTCTCCATTGCTTTTTCTATTCTACATACTGGTTTAGTGAACTCAATACATGGTCAACAGTTAATGACCCGGCTACAAAGTTTTCAATGAAAACAGCATAAGTTGTATGATTATAAGTTAAACTTATGCGATTCTGGAATATCTTCAGAATATCTAAATTGAATTAATAGTTTCTCTTGTCCAATACATGTATTGAATCCTCTGCATTATTTACTATCATATTTCCTGACTGGAATGAATTTTGGGTATCATGTTTGCTAGTTTCTGCATTGTCATCTGTTTCATCTTCATGCTGTGCCAGAGGATCTTGCAAGAAATCTTGAATGTTATTCTTTACTTCATCTGCACTGATTAACATTGCTAAATACTTTGAGCTATAATAGATCATCTCAAACACATAACATTCATAATTCAATCATTATTGTGATCTTCTCTTCAACAAACTAGACTTTATGGCTCAAATTTCTTTGACGCTGAACCAATGCATTTGATTCCTGCGCTGTATCCTAGAAATGTAATTTTTCTTCACTTCTTATTTAACTTGCACTGTTTTTACAATATTTAGATATATGTACCATTAGGTTTCCAAAGATCCGCAAGTTGTTGGCAGTGATAGCTTAATTGTTCAGCTTTATATAAGCGGTTATCAAAGTTTGTTGACGCATATCAGATGCTACAACTCTTATGTGAGATGCTGTTGTTCCTCGGTTAGCTATGACTGCTTAAACCGTACTTCTTGGCTTGTATCTGTACTCCTATACCTCGACAAAGTGAGATTTTTTGTGCGCCGATGACTACGTAATTCATACAGATTGGTATAATGTATATCACGCATATTCACAATGACATCTCTTGCTGTACATTTGTCCACCATTATATGTATATGATCATTAATCAAGCTGTGAAAAAGAGCTAATCTTAACTCTGTTGTCAACAGGAGAGCTCGCTACGCTGTCATCAGCAAACTAACAAATTTACCCTTGGAAAAGACTGTCAGTCAATATGTAATTAGGAGTAGTTTTCCTTTAAAATTTAATTTATTCAATATGGATTAAATTTTAATCTCTAAACTTTCCAAAAATTAATCCTATCCTCATATCTCCTTTTCCCTATCTTCAGTTCATCAAGTCCTAATTCTCTCATAATTAAATATCTCGGTGTACAGAAGTCTAGCTTATATATCCATCTTATATGTATAATTCATCATTACCTTTTCTAATTCTTTATTCTCTTCCCATCCCCAAATTTCTCCCCCATATGACATCACACTTTGTACCAGATATCTGAACATCATTCTTCTATAAAAATCGTCCTTGCAAATTCTTTCTCCAAATCTCCATACCTTGCTCGCTGTTATTTTCCGTTTGTTATCTAATTCTTTAACATGATCTACGTTCTCTTTCGTATTTAAGACAAATCCTAGGTATTAAAATTTTTTTACCTCTTCTATATTATCTCCTTTCCATTTCCATGTTTCTTTCTTTTCCTTTCCTTTCTTATTAAAAATCATTAATTTAGATTTTTGTATACAAAATTTCAATTTCCTATCTTTAAACATTCGTCTAACTGTATCTAACATATCTAGCATTGCCTCCCTATTTTTTGCTAAGAAAACCATGTCGTCTGCATATTCTAAAGACCATATTCTTACAATACTTTTTCTAATTTTATATTTCCCTCTTTTTATTTCCCTCCTATGTTTCTTTTTTCAATCTCTTCCATACCTCCGCTGTGTATAAGTTGAATGGACTCATTATACAGCTCTGCCTCACTTCCTTTGTCATCCAGAATTCTGTTAATCCTTCCTCAGTTCTTACCTTTCCTATTGTTTCTTCATACATTCCCTCCACTTGTCCCACGAGACACGCCTCCAAACCGCTATTCTTCATAATCCTCCATAGCTGATCCCTATCTACATTGTCAAAGACATCCTTTAAGTTTACAAAAATGCGTACACCTTGCTTTCCTCTTTCCCTTTCTTCCTTTCTCTCTGAGCCAAATAATTGAGAATATAAATATCCATCGTTGACCTTCCTCTTCTAAATCTGGCTTGGCTCTCTGGCAGCAACTCCAATCTTTCGGTCTCCATTTCCAGTCTTCTCACCATTTCCACGTAAATCTTGTAGGCCGAACATAAGAGGGATATTCCTCTGTAGTTACCTATGGAGTCTTTGCCATCTCTTTTGTATATCATTGACTTATCTAGTAGAAAGAGAAGGATTATCTCAGAAAAGTTTATCTTACTTGGCCAAAGGTTGGTGACATCGGCCACTAAGCCCCGTAGTAGTAAAAAATTTGTTTTAAATAAAACTTTTATCCGTATGTGACAGTATGCTTCTGTTCTCCAAGTGTGTTAAATATTTCTTTAGGTAATGAAACATGGTTTAACAATTCTTGTTTTAAATAAACATTTTGTGGTATAATGATATGAATGCTATAGTTAGTATAAAAAAAATTTACATCTAACATTTTTAATCCAATGTTACGTCCCGATAAGTATATTATTACATTTATATTTCATTTAACGTATAATATATTAATTGTAAAAGCAACATTGAAAGTTAAAAGTTTTGTCAATGGATTGATTATTATAATGTAGCTCTCGCGTTCTTTAAATTTGATGGCCTTAGTTTTTTGTAAAGCATAAAAATAATGCTTTTAAAAAATTACTAAAAAAAATATGTAACAATAGAACTGTTATATAAGAACTTGTACTACTATCTCAAAAACTCATCTATTCAACATCTGAGGAATTGCATAGACGTAATTGGTGAGATTTTGAATATCTTCTGAAATAAAACTCATAAAAAAAATTATTAAACGAAAAACTTAAAACATAAACCAAACATCACAAAGTACATTAAGAAATAATCTCCTCAAATATTACTTTTTTATATTTTTTATATTAGAGTATATAAATATTGTGCACGCATTGTGTACTTAAAGTTAATAATATTATATAATTACATTACCATTCAATTTATCATAAATTTTCTTTAAAATAAATATTAAAAGAACATAGAGCTTCTAATCTGGAGAAGCCAATTAAAAAATTTAGCAATCTTGAGAAAAGCAATTATTATCTTGTTTTTCTTTTTAAGCTGAGTAAGTTTGATTATTGTCACTTTTTTGTATGTTTAAGAGTAATGAAGATATTTCGACATTTTGTTTTACCGCTCTAGTCTATATGTATAATAATTTACTTTGAGGTTGACTGTATCTTAAGTTCTTTAATCTAATGCTTATTCATTTATAACACAACTAATATCGATTTTTCTCTGATCCTTTCCTTCTCTCGTTATTTACCATTTATTTTTATATCTTTGGTTATTTATAATTTAACATTAAATTTTTAATTACACCACAAATTTGATTTTATTTAATGATGACAAATGTGAACTCCATAATGTTGTCGTCAATTGTGAAATGTTGTGTGTATATGTTGTGCGTCTTGCTTTATACAACACACTTACGTGTTTAATTTATTAAAACTACTATCGAAACTCATAAAAATTACCATTGATTTTCACTCATCCTCCTGCATGCTATCTTTGTCAAACTTTTACGCTCTGCATAAAGTGGTTATGCTCAAGCCTACAATCACTGTCATCCACAGTATCTAGTATAGAATCCCTTGGTGCTCCATCAACTTTGAAACTTCCTCTGTGGGATAAGGCATCAGCAGAGTTCTGCTTCGCAAAATCGCGAGAATTATTGACAAAGCCGAGCGCTTGGGCTTCATATATGGATATTGACTTGAATACGCATACATTAGATAATTTGGCAATAAAGCAGAATTTAGTCAAGTCTACTGAATTCTTGGAGAATGGAAATAAAAAGGACCATCTGAATTGCGAGGGTCGCTCTGATGCAGACACCAAATTAAATGTCCGACATCAGAATGGTAAGAAATTTAACGTAGAAAATTCGAACTATGATTTTCTACGCAAGATGAAAAGAGTGTCTACGAGTTACGTTGAACGTTACTTTGAACAACCGAAATACTGTGATGATGAAACAACTCTAGGATGCACCAGCGAAAAAATATATTTTGGAGAAGAGAAATTGGATAAATATGATAAAATTAATAATCTGGAACAGCCTAATAAATCGACTTATTATTCGAACATTCAAGAACAGGGCTCGGCTGGTATGAGGTCTAATCAGATGTTGCAAAATAAACTAAGTAATTGTGAACTAAAAGATTGCAATATCATGCACTTTGAAGTGCGCCCTGATGAAAATTTTGATATTTTAAAAGAAAAGGCAGCGAACTTTGAATCTCCTCGCAATAAACCGGACAAGTTTGACGTAGCAAAGGATAAGACGACAAACTTGGATCTTGGCACGCGACCGAAAATTCCCGTTACTTTTGATGAATCTGCAAAAATGAACATCATAAATTTTACTAAAAAGATTGACCTGTCGAAATCTAGAGCCGCGAACATGTCCTTTATGCCTAGAAAATCCAGTCAAGATATGAATACTGTCTACGACTCATCTGATAGTACTAAAACTAACGTGAAGACAGGTGGGTCAGAGTCCAGTCCAAGGAGTAATATAGAGACAGTAAAAATAAACATACAAAGCTTTCGCAAAATCGAACAAAACCAGAACGGTCACGAAGGCTTTCCGTTTGTAATATCTAACAATCCTATATTTATTGCTGAATCAGAAAAGAAGGAATCTCCCATATACAGCAGTTCCGAGAGTTTGCGAGTAAATTTCCAGCGTCTTAGGCGAAAATCTGATGCCGAGGCTAGTCAGGTAGAACTTAATAGCAAGCTCTTAGCTGAAAAATATCAACGGGAAATTTCTGGTTTGGAGAGCGTAAAAAATTACTTGGACTCCAAGAAAGCTCAAGGTTTAAATTTGGGCCTGGGCAAGTTAACACAAAACATGATACAATTAGGCAAGAATATCGCTCAAAATTCAAGAAATTTAGATACAACTTTGCCAAAGTCGTTGGTCTCTAACATGAGAAATCTGGATTTATCTGCACCATCTCAAACATCTGTACGAAGTTTAAATATACCAATTCAGAAGCCCAAACATTTGGACTTGAACATTCCGGTACAGAATCAATCATCAATTAACACAAAACTAAATTTGATTCAGAAACCAAATCCTCCAACGAGTCCAACTGTACATCAACACATTTTGGAACCGCCAAAATTATATCAGAATGATCCTGCCAGAAAAGAGTTACCAAAATTGGATATGCTAGCAGAAAAGTTTTCTGGTGCTGCTATTTATCGACATAGAACATCATCTTTGTCAGAGAGTAAAAAACCTCCAATAAAGAATATACGCAGATCTTTTCATCCTAGAAACGATTCTAGTGAAGATTCGGATTCGATTTCGCACTCAGAAACAGACATCAGAAGCCGTCTGCGTTACAAACGTAGGCACAAGAAAATTCCGCATAATTTACGCTTGAATTTCAAAAATAAAACCACATTTTTGCATCCTCATTCCGCTAAGGGATTATCCGCGGTTGAACTATGCAGAAAGTCACCGCCACCATCAACAAGCTTCTTAAATTCACTATCGCCGCCATTTTCTTCAAGAAACAATCTACTTTCTTGGCCGGAAAGCGCACCGAGCTCTAGTCTGACATTTACTAGCAATTCTGATCTTGATTCAGATACTAGCTCCGAATATCCGGAATTCACGAACGATGTATTGACATTTCCTCCTTCTCCTGCTCCTTAAAATTCTAAAGACAAATTTAGCTTCAGCCTTGATCAAGCTAAATGTGGCTTTTCTATTTATCAAGTTTGTACAATCTCACAAGATGATTAGCGAGATTATTATGTTAAGAATGCATGCAATTTATACTAACCTTTTATAGAATATACTCAAATTGGTGATTAAATAATTATTAAGGATTGATTTTACTTAAAAAATACAAAGTTCCAATAATTACGATAAAAATTGTTTCAGTTTTTACTCAAATTACGTCCTTTTTAGCATCAATATAGCGAATGACACTATCAGTAATTTGTATTTTACAGTCACTTTTTTCTTAAATTAAGATCATCAGATAAATTTCTCTATTCTAAAATGTCTCTTCTATCTTTGTTCTCATTTTATATACATATATAATACACTAAATTATAATATTACTACGCACTTTGTAATTTACTTTTTTATTCTAACATAGTCAATTAGTCATATTGAATTATGGGGTACCTATAATGAAAAAAAACAGAACAAGAGAAGAATTATAGTTTAAAGGAAAATAAATTATGATTATGATTTTGAACAGAAAATTTACTATTTTGGTATAGTTTATAGTGAACTTATTATGTCTTAAGTCTCTAATATTGTTTAAAAACAATTTCAGTTAAAAATATGAGTATAAATATGAGTATAAAACATAAATAAAGGAAGCTAAATAATGAGAATGCGATAAATGAGCAAATTATTTTTAATAAACAATAAAAATGCTATTAGAAAGAAAACTTTGAAGCTATATGTATAACAAGTTATATGTATAACAGCAAATTTTTCCAAGCACAAAAATAGAATCTATGTAATGCTAATTATTGAATCTCCTTTATTGGTGCCACTCGTTTATACTGGTGTTGAAAAGAAAGAATTTTAATAAATTATTTTATTTTTATCGTGCAAGTATACATACACATATGCACAAACAGAATCATCGTTTTTCAAAAAATTAAATCAATTATCTGGTACACATTGTTGAAACCATGAAAACATTGGACTACTGCAACACATAGTATAAAATTTGTGGAAAAATATTAAAAGTACCGTAAGAAATTATTAATAATATTAATTTTATTTCTTATATTATTTTATTTTATTAGAGAAAAATGAAGAATTTATATGTACAGAATATCAAAGCGTAAAATCAAAATAGGTAATACTTTTATCATAATAAATCATTTTATTACACATTTTGAATTAACATAAATTTATTGTAATTTATTAAAATTCATATCTAGGTTATTATGAAATTACAAAACTGCTACATACTTTAATGCTGAATTTTAAAATAGTAACTTTTAAATGGACTATTAGATTACTACATCTTCTTGTATACATATAGTTTTATATATCTGTACACTATACTAATGTATAGACATATAAAACTATATGTTAAGATATAGTTATGGTTTGCTCAAATTACATAACATATGACATATAGACTTGGTCAAAATATTTTTTTATCCTGGAACTGGCAAAGATTTTATTTTAATGATTAAATATGTATTGGATTCAAATTTCTTCCTTTCCCAGAGTTCTTGGTAAATAATTTTATATATGGAACTATTACAGCAGAAAAACATTCAAAATTTTAATATAACACATTTTAATTTAATATAACAAATTAAACAAACGGTATATATGATGTGCACGAAAATTAATTATTATATACATATACTTATATAATAATTAAAAGAATATGCAAAGTAATAGTCCGTGTACACTTAGCATGCTTGCATGTTGTATTAATCACTAAACTAGTTGTATTAATCGCCAATATTGATATATAATGGAACAGTTTGGATGTATTTACATGTTTTTAGCAATTGTACACATGTATTTGAAGAACAAAGTTTTACGACATATATTTGTCGGTTTATTGCTAGTGGATTTTTCACAAGCGTGATTTATACATAATATATATTTGCACCTATATATTTTTAAATAATTGCAATATTTTATAATAGAAAAATCCGAAGTTCTCAAACTGGTATACGCATATCAGTAATGGATAACTTTTTTATTAAGCATTATTCGGATTTTTTAACAAAGAGAAACCAAAAGATAAAATAATTAATCAATATTACAAAAATAATAATTTGATAATGAAAATAACATGCTAGAAAAAGTAATTACAATATATTGAACATTCAAGAGTTTTATAACGACTTTAAGATAATAAGTAACATACATATAATTAAACTTCCATATTTTTTCTTTTTCTATTCTTTTCTTCTTCCCAATATTTTACTTTCTTTTCTGTTGCATTATTACTGTACCACTATTGCATTTGAATATACAGGGTGTCCCATTTTTATTTGGACAGTAATATCTTAAAAACTGAGCCCCGCAAACAAAAATGTTTCAGACAATTCAGACAAAAGTTGTTTGGTTTCGAGAGGGGCATAAGATAGTGTCATTAATTTGACCTTCAAATAATTTTTCAAGGTCAAACCAATGGTACCATCTTATGTCTTCCTCGAAACCAAACAACTTTTGTTAGCTGGGCTTAGTTTCTGAGATATTTTACTGTCCAAGTTAAAATAAGACACCCTGTATATTCACAAAATGAAAATATGCACTTGAACATTATAAATTGATGATTAATTGGCACATGTACAGTAGCACGAGAGCATTAAAAGATAAAAGAAGAAATAGGAAAGTATAGAGTAAATATATGGATGTTTGATTGCATTTATATTAATCTCAAGAATCAGAGGCCTTTATGAACTATTTTTTATAAAAATACAAAAATTTTAAGTAAACATTGTTCTTTATTCTTTATTATGAATAAAAATAACAGACGTTTGTTCAGAAGTAAATAAAGTGTCTTTACAACATTGATTTTTACAATATTGTGTAAAGTAAGAAATAACTTTACGTAGAATTTACTGATTTTTGAAGTACTTTTGCGATATTCCAAAATATAATATTAGTAATATTAAAAATTTTTGACAGAAAAAATTAGAGATTGTGTAACTTTGGATTAAACAGTACAGTTGCTTTGTATAATAATTTATCGAAGATCAGAATTTGATGTTGTAAAAGAAGGCATGCCATTTGAACATCTTTACACAAATTGTATTTTTCTTTCTTATGAATAAAAATAATATTGTGGTTGCTGAATTTGTCTTGACATTCCGTAAAATATTATTTTAAAAATTATTTGGTTTTTAGTTAAGAGAAATTCACAACTTTAAATTTTTTACGATAAAGAAAAAGTTAGCGTTTTCTTAATTACAAATTATAACTTGGAACAGCTTTATCTCTTCTTAAATTATCATAAATATCTTAAATCGTTCAGACTGTTACAACGAATGCCTTGTATATGTTTTATCTTATATTAATTTTGGGTAATTGTATTATAATTTTAATAATGTAAATTTCAACTTAATATGATAATTTATTTTTAATTAATGAAAACGGTTCTTTCTTTTCGAAGAAACTAATTCTTTTTATATGCAATTAAATTTTAAAAGTGTAGCGAGCAATGAAAAAGTTTGAGAATTTTGAAAAATCATGCTCATTGATATGTGAAGACACGTCGGATTTTTCATTGCACGGAACACTGTAACAAGTATTAGATAATGTTAGTTTGTTGGTAGTTCAATATAATTATTGAACTGGTACACAATGTCGAAGATAACATGCAGGCGTGCGCGCACCCACACGCACACATATGCACAAAAAAAAAAGAGAGAATGAAGAAGGAAGAGAGAAGAATGCAAGTGAGAAAGAGAAAGAATGTGAGATAGTTTAGCATTCCGTATCTATAATTTTTGTTCTTTTATTTCTGTTTAATTTCTGTTTCTTCTATCCTTGTATCTATCCCTTCCCACAACATGTTCAGGCCACACTGTCGGAAGAAGCTAAGGAAGTGTACAACAGTTTGGTGGAGACGCCAACATTGGAAAGTACTGGAGATACGAATCCGTTGCGCATGTTGCGTTCCGGAGTACCTATAGTAAGACCCAGAATTCGTGGGAATAAGCATGCTACTTTGGGTTACCCGGTGTCATCGCAGTCAGAAGAGGCGTCCAGTGAACATGGCTACCATTTCGAGATGCACCATAGTGGCGCGAGGACTCTACCCAAAGTCCGAGCACCTCCGTCACCCCATACAATTTTGTCTCTGCCGCAGTCACGCATTCTCGAAAAACATCACTCCATGGAGATAGAAAATAACCAGAATCAAAGCAACTTCGATGAAAATCCAATACCTTTGCCGCCTAGAGACCGCTCTAAGACGCTTCAGCCCAAGTCCAGCTTACCGCGACATCAGAGGAAGCATCCTTTGATCATACCTGGAGGCGGAGTCACTAGAACGCTGGCAAAGATGGCAGTAACCACACCATCCGCAGAAGATCAGGTGGATGGACATTTTGTGTTGCAGAATTCTAATCCAGCCATTGCTAGTACCTCGATGCAGGACAGTTATATTCCGGAAGCTTCGACTAACAGGTATAAACTTCAGTAACATTTTCCAGAAATTATAATAAGTTAACATTTTTATTTCAGGGACATTAAATGCCTTAGTTATCTAATATCTTTGATCTTAAAAAAATGTGATGTATTCTACAACATTAACTATTTGAAGATTACAAGTACAATCAAATTTTAGTATTCTTAACTATACCCATTTTTAACCATATCTATCGTCCATATCTACTATCTTCATATTACACTCAAAGTTCTTACGCCGATAATGAGACAGCCGTATCTTACCGCATGCTTGAATGGGGCGGTAGACTTGGTTAAGACAGCGATTTTAATAATGAATAACTCGTAAACTATTGTGAAAATTGTAAAATGATAGACGGCTTTTCGACTGTCAGTCTAAGTCCACTCTATCTGCACACAAAGAGTCCCAAATATTTAGACACCCTGTATATAAAATTAAAATGGCACGTATCAATTGATTTCAACATAAGAATACATATTTGAATATAGTGACTTAAATATCTGTGGTATTAATTAATTAATTTATTATTTAGTATATATAATATAGATGTTAAAAATTTTCAGCCCAGAAGAATTTGAACAACGCATAGATTCTGAACTAGCTGCACTGGATTCTTTACCTGTGGAGGAAAGCCGATTTCGACGATATAGCGCGATATCAGAAGATTTGCTGGAGTTTTCGGACAACTTAATTGACTGTGATGACACAGATTTATGTCAGAACGTGTCGGAAACGAGCAATGACGGACAATTGAGCAACTCGTTAACCATGACTGATAACTTATGCAAAAAAATAAGTGATGAATCAAAGTGCTCTCTTAAGAATTTTACATCTAAGATACAAGAAAACATGGAGACAGATCTAAGCCGAAATTCGCTGCCAATTAGTTCTTGCAGATCAGAAGACAGAA